TGGTTTTCTCTGGCTTTAACCAGCCAAATTATCTTTACATCACCCTTTGTCATTTAATTAGCTATAAATATAACAAGGCACTGTAAAGCTTTTTTACAAGGCGGAAAGACAGGTGAGATGTCTGGAAGACATAAACTATTAAAAGGTTAGAAAATGTTACCAACAACAAAGGCAAAAACTCTGTTTAGCAGACCTCACATGAAGAAGATTGTGGTGGTATTTGTTCTGTTATTCCTATGTCCACTCTTCAGTTCAAACACAGAATATCTGACAGCACTAAATCACTAGGTCCTGAAGCTGGATCATTAAATCAGCCCTGCCCCTGTATAGCTGAACTCTGTTTGAAGGAGAATCACTTCTAAATAAATGCTACGGTGAAAGGACAAGGACTGACAAAGGGTGCACAGCAGCATACAGGGTTAATCCAGAGTAAAGTAATGAGTCGTCACCTGAACCAATCCCCCCATCTGTATGCATTGCAAAGCATTGGTGGTAAGAAGTTTTCTGCATTTTAACGTATTGTGCAAGAACAGCCATTGGTGAAACTGTTGCATTAACAAGAATTTGGCAATACGATATGTATATGTATATGTATATGTATATGTATATATATATATATATATATGTGTGTGTGTGTGTGTGTTGATGCAGTGTTGTAGAACATTGATACAGTATTAGGAAATATTCTGTTATTTCAGTGTATTGATATTTTCTTACAACCCTACTGTTGTATAAATAAAGGTTTAACAAATACATATATAAAGATACATAATCTATTATTTTACAAGTAGGTGTCTTATAGAGCTCATTAGACTTGCGCTTTCAAGTCCAACGCCTTCACTAATAGCTAATCAGCAAAGCCACAGACTTGACATACCAAGGTCATGTTAACAAAGCTAACATTCCAGTAAAGGTCAAAAAGAAACCCTTTAAACTTTAAAAATTCAGCAGCTCATCGAAGTTAGAGGCATACATATTTACTTATCATCAACAAAGATGTTTTTTTTAAAGTTGTCATAAGAACAAATCATTTCTGGCTATTTTTTAAACAGATGTATGGTAAACTTACTATACCTCTTTTTATACAAAAGCCTTTATTTACAGGAAGCTAAATGAATGTAACATAATATTTTGGTTTAAATCAGTACATAGGACGTGGGAAAAACTCACTTCTGTGATGAAGTCTTCTGGGGTTGAATGAATGAATATACTGTAATATGTTAAGACATTCTCCCACCTGGGTGACTCAGATGACATTACAATGACTTATGCTGTCGGTGAAATGTTACTGAAAGGCACTTGAGGTAGGCTAGGACCTTGCTGCCAACATATATAATGTCAAAACCAGGGATCCGAAACAGAATGTGACTTGATTTTAGCTCTGCCCTGATTGCAAACATGAGCTGAAGTTTTGAGACATGGCTTCAAGCCCAAATTGCACTTCGCCAGGCTCCACTGACCTTCTAGCTCCTTCACTCTTGCAGGGGCAACTGCCTGACTGTAATGATCCTGATGTAAAAGAAAACAGTGTTATTAATCAGAAAGAATGTGGCATTTGGGGAAGTGCCACTGGACTTTGAGAGGTTAAAGTTCCCAGTTTAGGGATGATATGATAACATGACCAAAATACTGGGAAGATTAAGAGAGAGAAAAACAACATGTGAAATTTACATTTTGAGTGTGTGCATTTGGGTGTGGATGCATGTCTGTGTGTGTTCTCCTTAACCTCAGGTCACACCTGTTACCTAGTTGAAGCCCTAGTTTGGGGTAAGAGGTTGAGTTCAAAAGTCAAGGAGTCACATGACACTTTCACAGAGCTGTTTAAGGGCCAACACCAGCACTAACACATTCACTCTGTGAGCCAGTGCTTATTTGAAAGTCACCCCATTGAATTTGAAAATCAAAATGAGGGTTTTCATTTGGCAAAACATTAAGGAAACACTATTTTACTAAACTAATGTAAGACTGGTGCAGCAAGAATTAATAATGTTGTATCTACCTATCTAAGAGGTTATCTAACTGCAACATAAAAGGTTCCTGGTTCTATTACACATATTCAGCTTTTTACAAAACACATTTTGTTGGCAAGGGGTGACAAATAACTTTCCTTAAATGCTTATCCTATAATACTAGGGTTATATAGTGGAGGAATAACAAATAGGGAGACAACCATGACATCAACATAGTCTTTACAGAATATAATACAATATATTATGTCAAAAGGTTTCAAGAAAGATGTTATAAAAACGAATAACCAACATATTTCAAGATTTCTTCTTTTTATTATTTCACAATTTTTATAGACTTATCGTCTAATACAGTGTGTGTTTGGCATTGAGTATTTTCCAAACCCTGACTGTCCAATCTTGGTTTGTGGATAAAGTTGCAGCACTTGTAAGTAATGAACTCTTAACTTAGATATTAAAAGTTAGAAGAAGTTACAAAAGTAATAAATCTATATTAATTTAAAGGTCAGGCTCAGAGATCTGTCAAATTGAACGAAAAACACTCCCCACAGTGTGGACGGCCAATGAGTCACCCCCAATGTTACTTCACAAGATAAAAAAATCCTAATTTTATAGAGTGTACACCAAAAATACACAACAAATCTGCATATCATATTTTAATAGCATGAAAATTATAATAAAGATCCAACAACTATGTTCTCAACATACCCTAATGCCCTGAACTAAGTCAGCATGTTACACATTAAATGTCCTAAAATCCTTTGTACGTCATAAAGGTTTTCAAAAACAGAAAGTGAAAGTTGTCTTTGTCCTGCAATATAGTGAATGTATTTTCTGTGCACCAAACATATACAGTAAGTACACCCTTTTAGAGATTTCTTGGACTAACCAAGCTATTTTCAAGCTGATTAACTCTAAAAAAAATACCCCTCAAACGCAATAGGACCTACTCTCTGGAAAAGTAATTCACCTAAATGAAACCATAATACAATACTACAACAACGGTCCACAGATTTGTCTTTATACTTTAGTAGCATTCAAAACGTTACACTTGTTTTTATTAATATTACAGTTTAATTGGATAAACATCATTGTTAGTATTATTAGCTCTTATTCCATATGTAATACAAATACAATCATCATTGCTATGAAGTCTTTCAAAAAGTCCTGCATAGATAAACAAATTAATGTCTTTACTGAATGTCTAAGATACACAGACAGGAATTTACAGCAAAAACAAACAGGAAGTTGAAAGGCAATAAATAATGTGTGCTTATCAACATTCCTTCAATAAATACTGACAAAATACATGAACTACCCTCATTATTTGTGTAGTACTCCCACAACTCCAACAATAAGCAAGTAGAGGAATTCCAGACACTGCTAAATAACAAAAATATACAAATCAGAGCAGGATATCAGTTTCCTGTTTTCAAACTATTTGGGAAAAGACTCAACTAATATTTGTTTTTGCACATTTTTTGTGAACAGGCATCTGCACTTATCTGTAAACAAATCTGAGCTCTTCTGTGAAAACACCAAATCCCCTTCCAGGCATCTTATTTACACAAGTTAAGAAGAAACAACGTGAGTCACTTTGCTTTGTTGACACTGTCAACTCTTGTTGGTTGATGACAACATGAGAAATGGGCAAGTAAAATCAAGAACTGACAACTGCAGTCCCACATGCATTTACATTCAAGACAAAGGTAGGGTCGTTATTGAAAGGACTGAAGGTTTAGGGGGTGTTGTACTTCAACTACTACTCGTTCTAACGTCTTTAGAGAAAATTGTCCAGACATTGATCTGTCAAACACAGGCCTACTGTCTTGTAGTCTCTTGGCCTTTTTGATATAGCTTATATGTAGCAAATACTGACTATGTTGTACAGTATCCCTTAGTTAATCTACCGTAAGCATTGTTTTGTTTAATGGATTCTCTGGACTGTCAGATGTTAGTTCAGTATCATGTTTGTTAAAACTATGAGTTTATAATTTTATTATCATATATTACGTTAAATGAATGTAATGAATGAATAGTTTTAATTACTGTCAATGCAGATCATTTTGAAATCACGCAAATCATCAATTTTTCAACCAAAATTTGACGTTAACTTTTAGCACCGGGTTTTGATCTAGCTCATTACATTTTCTTTAGTTTTTATAAACTGAAAAACTGAAAAGGAACTCGATTTTTGTCTTCAGATGGGGCAGATAAACAAAATGTAACCTGATGCGTAATACAGCTATCAGAATTCACTGAAGAAAACATCCTCTAACGGCAACACCTGTTACACAAATGATCAGACTTAAATGGAGGATACAGTATGTAGAAGAATAGCTATGGGGTTTTAATTAATACTTTTTTTCAATTCGAATCTGAACTTTTATCACTTACTCGTGTATCATTTCAATCTGATCAATGGATCACTCTTGAACCTTCTGAACTTGAATAGATATAAATGACACAGTGAAGGCACATATATATATATTTGTGTTTTTTTATAATGACTTTTATACTGACATTGGTGCTGTAGAAAGCTCAGGTTGTCTTCTTTATGTCTCCTGTCAATGACTGTCAACACCGACTGCCAGGTTTGGACCCCTGGTATTTGGTTAGGTAGCGTTATTTGAGTTTGCAAATAATTGTAACGTTTTGTAAACAAATGTAAACTGGGTTGGTTGGTTGGCTCGACCTAAAAGCAACGGTGCGTTCAAATAAGTTTAAAACCAAAACCAAAACACACACAGCCAACAATCAGCTTTCAGTCAGCCCTGACAGCAGCACTCATTCACAATCCTCCGGTAAAACCCGACAACAGTCAACAAACTTCTCCGCTGTCCCCCCACATCCCTGAGCTGCACACCGTTGACACTTAGCGCAAACGGGAGAGCACTGTACTGTTATCCGCACAAACACAGCCTCGCTCCGCTGCATGAACTGGAACTTGGCAGTCGGAGGAAAGTGACGAGACTTGTGGCTCAGACACTTTGGATTTGGTGGGAAAGAAAGCCTGGGCTAACTTTTCCTTACCTTTAAAGACGCCTACTGTCCCCCGATCGGTACTTCGACTTCCTGACGACCACAAATCCAGGTTTACAACGTCGTTCTCGGCAGAAATAAGGGAAAATCCGAGTTTGTTTGGCTCAGCTTCTGCCAGAGCCAGTGATTTTTTTCCGCACACGGCTTTTCTCCCTGCGTGGCTCCAGTAACAGCCGCTGCAGTTTTTTCCACCAGCCCGACGCGGGAGCGAGCGCACGGGGATACTGGGCTGGCCTGGAGCGCCGCGGGAACGCGCATTTGACAATGCTTCACCAAAACGAGACAAAGCATTCAGAGAACGCAACCCTACACTAAACACACAGACTGCCTCAGTGTGTCAGTACAAATTATACCGTAGAATTTTTTAACTATTTTTTTAAATACCTAAATCATATTACAATGAGATTCGTGCTTCTGTTTTTGCTGGAGATGCGTGCAGAAAACACACGAAATCAACAAAACAGAAATCATGAAACCCATAATTCCCTTGTAAATAACTTACTCTTAAAAAGCCTGTGTTAAAAGTGTCCAGGCAGAGTTCTGTAGCTTGGCCTGTTTTGTTATGATGGAATAAAATTTTCTCGAACACATACCATGGATCCAAGAATGTGGGGAGTATATTTTAAATAAGATTTAGCTAAAGGGTAGAGAAAAATATTTGCAATTAGTTATAAGATTAAGTGCTAAAAGGTAGCCAATAGAGGATGTAATGTTTGCAAATGTAGTTCATTATAGTTTAATTACAGCTTACTTTCCTTTTATAAATTTCATTTATAATTCTTTTATTTATGAAATTGTCAAACATCTCAGTTTTTTTTTTGCCAAATGCCAATATACCCTAAATCATCGAAATAAAATTGAATAATACAAATTAAAAGATGAAAATTTTAAATTTGTATTTTCCAATTTTGTTGTTAATAAGTTTTCAATAACTGTATTGGTTGTTACTGTGTTATTGGATATATAAAGGATAATAAAGTATTTTACAGTATTGTTGAAGACTTAGTATTTTCTATGTTTCATCCTTACAGTTTAATCAAATGAAGAAAAAAATACAGAATAGGGCTCAGAAAAAAGTTAACAGTTTGTTTGGTTAGGTGACATTTACACCCCTGGTTCTCAGATGTAAGCAGTCACGGGGAGAATGTGAAGGCAGCATGCGTTTGGAAAGAGAAGGAGGAGGGGCCAAGACAGAGGTAGACATGTGGGAATGACTCAAGTTTTTTTACACATTCCAAGCATTGTTTCCTCCTCCTCCTCCCTGCTCCGGTTCTGGGTACTGGGGCCAAGGATTTTCCAGAGCTGAGAGAGATGAAGCAGCAGATGATGGATTAAGGAAAAGGAAGGATGACTTGCATTTTCCTCTTCTGCCGCTTTGAGAATGACTCTCTCTTTCTCCAGCTGAATAAACACGAGTCAGTGGGCACTGCCAGATGTTTTTCAAATTATTTCTGAGTTTTCTGTGATTTGCTGGCATCTCTCACTGTAGGGTGTCATGCCTGTCTCTGATGACAGGAAAAATTAAAAATGGGGATAAAATATCTTTTGACTGTTTATATAATCAGTATATTTTTTAAGGTTGTTGAAATTTTGGGGCTGTGGTTAATTGAAATCAAGGTTGAACAAAAACATGCAAGAAAACTCATACAAAAAGAAACTTCCGGTGAGTAGGTCCACCATTTCTGTTAGGAGGATTATACACTGTATTTTGTTGTGTTTATTACATAGAAAATATGTATCAGAAGTGAATTATTAGATACAATCATTAATTTGGACCAAATCAGTGACATCTGTGACTGAATCTAAGAACCAAATCATTACAGAGCCACGCTCCTCATGGCTTTCTTGGCTTAAAAGAACAGTTTTATGACAGATGATGATTTTATAGGTTCAAGAAAATATGAACCTAGTGATGTTAAATCACTCTGGGTACTTTATAATGTTTATCGACTGATTGATCAGGATCAGAGATCATATCAATAATCAGGCTTGTGTGACTGAAACCACTACAAACATCATCATAGTTCAATCACAGTTCATTCTCAGTGTAGTGAGAGTTTGCAGAGGTCTGTGAGTCAAGGTTGACTGGAACACAGTTTCAGTGATGTTGGGATAAAATGAGTCTGAACTATTTAGTCATATAAGTCATATATTTAGTCATATTGTCTTAAAAGAAATGACCAAAGCTGGAAAGACAAAGATTCCAACGCTCAGCGATTCACATGTAACTCCATTTACTTTATACACTGTATATTCATGTACTTTGTCAAAAAAATACCATACTTTTATTTCATGAGACACAAGTCTCCATTACAGCAGAAGCCACAGAGTGAATAATAATGATAATGAAATGGAGAAGTCCGGTAACAGAATCCTGAAGGAGTGTGTGCGACTAAGCTTTTCAAAAGGTGAAAAGAGTAAATAAAAACTGCCATTAGTCACAGTTTGTAGTCAACACTCGTCTCAGAAAGGTCAGCAGTGGCCTTTAGCAATGACTCACTGAACTAGGTACTTTATTGATGGGATATTGGGGAAGAGGGATTTAGTGGCCATCAGAAAACACTTTTTAAATCAATAGATAATGTTCTTCGGTCGAGCTGATGAACAGATTTCTATAAATGTTTACTGGCCCAACACCCCGCTGGAAGGGCAGTCATTTTGGCCGTCATAGTGCTTTTTATTGAGCTAAATCAAACCACTCAGGACCAGAAGCCTGCTGAGTGCCAATTCAGCACATGATGCCTGACTCATCCTCCACCCCTCTGCTTTTTTTCCTCCCTGCCCACCCTCCTTCCTCTGGTCCAGGATCTGTGGCTCTCTACGCCTCTCCCCTGTGCCAGTCTGTCACTCCACACAGGCAGGAACTTGGCCAAGCCTTCAGACATGGCCCTTCTGGGGCGGAAGAGGGCATTAGGTGTGTGGGTGATTGTTTGTGAGGACAAAGACTGGGTGTGATTGATACAACAAGAGGGCAACACAAGTGTCAGGAAGACAGACCAGAGAACAGACAGGGCAAATAAATCACTGCTTCAGCAATTTACCAAAAATACCAAAGAGCACAGACTGTGTGAAGGTTTCACAGCATGTACTCTTTGGTCAACAACATCCTAAATAAAAACGGTCTAAGGTAGAAGGCATGACGACTACTTGCACTATTACAGTACACCCACCTTTACCGCATGGTACTGTATGAACTACTATTGTATTACATCCAACCACTTACATTTCCCTGCTTCCCTTCCTGTTGACTGCAGCTGCAAACTAACATCAAAGCTACTGTTAACCTGGTTCTAACTATAAGCTCATTATACAAATAAGCTTCGGGGTCCACTTCAAGCACCGTGCAGTACACGTGAAAGATGATCCTGCAAGTTAAAAGGTAAACAACTCTAATAAAGCAGAGTGCCCCACTGCTCACAGAGCTGCACTGAATGCTGAATGGCCTGCCATAAAAAATTATACTCAACACTGCAAGGATTTCTTTATTTTTAGCTAAGCTAGTGCACATGTTTTAAACCCCCGGTGTCAGGTACGTGTCCTGTAGGCTGTATTCAGACTGCTTTTATGCTATCTCTTAAGTTCATCTTTAAAACTTTACTTTATATTAATTATAAAATTAAAATTAAACATTTATTAAAAAATTAAATTAAATTAAATCACATAAACTAAATAACATTTAAATTAAGTTAAATAATTTATATTCAGTTCAACCTTTAATTTTGGCTATAAACTACTGGACTCGAGGGTGACAAATATATTTCTAGTACCCTCTGCAGGGCAGGACGGGGAGCTACATGCACAAACAAATTGTACCTTATGTTTATTTACGCACCAAAGGAACAGTTCCAATAGCTTGACAGTGGATAACATAAATACAAATGTTCGTAGGGTTATAGAATGAGAATTGTGGAACAAACTTGGCATTTATTTAACTCATATTTGAATGAAACATGAATGGTTCATGCCTGTGATTTAAATCTACTCAAAAAGGATTAGCAAGAAAATGTTTTCATTTTTTCTTACAGTGAAATTTAACCAAATGTATGTTGTTATTTGATCTGTGTCCAGGACGTCATAATAATTTCACAGCTTGACTCATCAAAAGGAAACCTGTGGTTAAGAATGTGGAGTCATTTAAACCCAAAACCACAGGACTGAATTATGACAGCCAGTTATGGTGTTTTATTAAGTCACTGCAGAGGCCAACACAGTCCTAATGTTCTTATGAATACATCTGTTAAGGACATTGTTGGATAACACACCAGGCCACATGTGGCCACTGTGAACAGGAAGTTACTGAGAGTAAAGAGGAAATGGGCAGGAGTGACTGAAAAAGGAAGTGATTTTATCTTGATATGATAGTGACTTCATCGTCATTAGCCAAACCCAACGGTCAGTTCCTCATGATGAGAAGATTTCTTTTACCCAGTCCATCTGTGGGTGATAATTTCTCTTTGCTCATTGAGTTACAGAATGTCTGTAACTGAGGCTTCGCTCATGCGAGTGAGTCACAGCCTCTGCCTTCAGATACAGTAAACTGCTGCAGGGCTTCTCAATTAACTTCACCACTCCAGATCTGCTTAACCTCAAACTGTAAGTACAGTGAAAAGGCTTATGTGCTGACTGTGCAGGATTCAACACAGTGGTATATTACAGCACATCAGCCACATATTAGATGTAGAGTGTCACATAAAAACACAGCTGACAGAGATTAAGGTTCATTAGAGTGGCAGTGGTTTTTTTTTCACATTTAAAAAATACATGATATTGTAATCCCAGACTCCTCATGTGATGTAAACACGTTTATTAAAAATACCAAAACACATTTTTACAGAGAAGGAAAAAAAATTAATGGCACATGCTCCTCCTCCGTAGCATTATAAAGAACATCTTCATACATTTCTGAGACAAAATTAACACAAACATTTTCTTAAATCACACACAAACAGTGTAACAATAGTGTGGATACTGTTGGACGTACTGTATATGCTATAATGAACAGGGATGACAGAACAGGAGCAAGAACGACAGAACAGAACTGTTGAACAGAACTTTTCATCTATATTTGTATATACTGTATATAAAAAAGAAATTAATTAATAACATGGAAATATGTAAAATGTATAAACAGACAATAAATAAATATGAAACATTACATCACTTAAGAAATCTAAGGAAAGACTTTGTAAAGTAGAAAGGACAGATGTGGAAGAAGAGAAATACATCAACCAGGAAAGAAAAAAAACAAACATCTGTTAATGCCACTGACTCTCCAGACGTCCCATCAGGTTGGTCCAATTATCTGAGACAAAAGACGAGAACAGAGAGGCTTATAATGACTAGACTGGTGCAACGAAGGGAACATGATGAAAACCCAGTAACTCTCACTTGCGGTGAAAATTGGTTTGTCAATTAGACACATTGATAATCTTTGAGAGTTGAGGAAAGAGAATCTCCAGTACCGTCCTAAGTGCTGTTCTCTTGTGATTAGTGCCAGGTACTGTTGTCATGACAACAAAGGCACTCCTACCTGTCTAGGTGGGTGACAACTTCCCTAACGGTGCTGATGAGACTCTCGTGCTCTTGGGGGCTACTGACGATGATGCTGTGGAGCTTCTTCATGTAGGAATCGATGGTTTCAAGAGTGGGGGTTTCACCACTTCCTGAAGGGACAACAGGAGGAGGAGGTTCATGGTGTCATTGCTTAAATGTCCACAGACACAATATCAGTTTAGATTTGTGCTGAGTGATGAATGAAATCAATATTGCTTTTATTGTACATTAATTATCATTATCAAATTGTACAATACTAGTTGCATTCTGATGCATTTACCTGGCAGAGGTACGGAAGAGAAACTGGAGGCCAGAGCCTGACGCAGGGTCTCAAGATGTTGGTGGAGGAGACCGTTGCGTCCCCTCTCCTGCATCACGTCCCCTTCCAGCCTTTCCACTGCACCGCGCATGCTCTCCACGTGCTTCTGCAGAGCAGCGTTACGCTCTTCGTACTCCATGTTGGTCTTGCGCAGCTGCCGCATCTCAGCTTCACGTGCTGTTGGGAGAGACGGAGGAGTTTGATGAGTCTTAGTGAAAAGTCTTACGATCTTACAAACAGTGATGGGACCGTAGAAATATTCTGGCTAAAGGCAGCAGAGGGGAGCGTGTGGAAAAATGTTCACAACAATGCTCTGACTGTTTACCTTTGCTGTGGTTGAGAAACTCCTCTGTGAATATGGGTATGTCAAACACAGTCCTGTCTTTCCCCTCTGCGTCCTTCTGTTCAAAGACAAGAAGAACCAGAGTTAAGTTGAAAAATCAAAACATGTGGCGACACAGACCGAGGACATGAGACCATTCATTCATTCAGTTGCTGTTCCTTTAATTTTGTACAGTGGTTAGATTTGATGAACTTGAACTTGAACTGAAGAACTTGCTAAATCTAGTGATAAAGTTGAAGCAAAACTGGAAGCTAAAGAACTGCTGTGAGGTAACGTTGATGCAAATTTGATGCAATTCAGAGTGAAACAGGAGGATAAATGATTCCCCAGTGTTTTTGGGACATTTTATTTTTTGTTCTCTTCCATGCGTTTCCAGGACTTAAAAATTGGTCATTCGTTTTCAAGGTTTTCCATGATGTGGGAAGCCTCCATAACAGTTTTTAATAAAGTGACTGCTCTCGGGCCTGGACTTTGACACACTTGGTTGAATGAAATTGAATTAACAATATAATTAATAGTGCTCTTAAACCACCCTGAGCACTGTTAGCAGATTGTTATAGAAAAAAAGTATTTTGTGAAAGTAAAAAGTACAAAATGGCTCCCAGGTATTTTTTCTGTTTCATCCATCTGTGAGACGGTGTCAGCGTACGGTTTTCTAGACAAAAAGAAATGGAATGTTGGATATTGTGTGCTTTAAAATATGCAAGTAAAGCACTGACTTTTTAACTCCCACAGGAGTTCTAATACAACCTTCTTGGTTTTAATGTTTAAAGAGTATTCTGAACAATTTATAAGAAAATCCTGGATAAAAGGCAGAAATTGTAAAAATGAAATACACACTTGACAAGTTTCTGATTCATGAGTGAACCAGTTAAATGGATTTACAAAGGAATTCCCAAAAACCTGAGAGGAAAAAACTGAGGAGAAATTTGTTTTCAAGATTTTCTTAATCGGAAACATATGTACTAAAGAGAAATGAAAAATACAACTGGTTCCTGACCTCATGAAGAGCCTCGTTAGCGACCTGGTGCCCAACATCTGAAAAAGTAAGAACAAAGTCATTTGAATGAAAAGGAAAGAAAGCTGTTAATGTCATTGAGAATTTATAAAACTGAGAGTCTGCCCTGTAACCAAATCAGAACAGATAATGAAAACCATGTGTTGTGTGATCCACAGCTCCTCGTCCTCAAGCTGAACCATCGCTAACATCCTCAGTGACTCCTAACTTGTAAAATATCCCCTTCTCTCACCGCACAACCACTGACTGAAAGACGATGAAGACGAATGGGCTGCTTCACCAGAGACTGGACTTCATTCAGAGTATGTAGTGATTCAGAAACATCAAAACATATATGTGTATATATATATATATATTTTATGTTAACAGTTTAAGTGGAAAATGATGGCCCGACTTTTGGCGGCGTTTCTGTTGTCGTTTGACTTTATGTTCAGACATTTCTGTTTTATATTCAAACAACTTTAAGAGTTTGTCAAGAAAACCAACAAAGCAGAAGAAGCCCTGTCTGATTTAAAGTCTTTCCCAATAGTGAAAAGCTGATCAGCTCTGTATTTAGGTCTGAGTTCTCTTAATGTTTGCCAAGTAGACACTCGGAAAGATCTCATAAAAATATTTGATAGGTCTGAGATATTTAGATATGAATATGTCCAGAGAAGAAATACTTGTCTGGATACTGACAATCATTTTTATGTTATGTTCACTTTTGGAAGCTTTTATTGCAAAGTGTCCCATGAATACCAAACGACTGACCAGAACCTGTCATTTACTTTCTCAGGTTTGATTTTAAAAAATTCGGCTGTAAAATAGCTTGTGTGATGATGAATCCTCAATGGAAATCTCTAATGCAGTGATCAAAACCGATCATGATTAGTCAAAAATAAATAAATACTCAAAATTCCTCAATAAGACTTTATTGAGAATTTATGAATATTACAGAAACAAAATTTGCTTCAGAAAAATTGTAACTGAATGATCAATGTGTCGATTAATCAATTAATTGATTCTGCACTATAACTATGCAAAGCATTGCATAATATTTTTGAAATCACATTAATTAAATAATATATATGTAATGTTATAGTTTTGTGAATACCTCCACGATGCCTCTTGCCCTTCTGCTTCTCCTGCACCTTCCTGGTGAAGTGCTTGTAGGCCTCAGTCTTCTGGTACTTTTCCAGTTCCCGCATGTAGCGCTCCTTATCTCGCTCTGCCTCATCCAGGTATCGCTGCAGGAACATAGAGGAGAGGTTAGAACATCTAAAGGTTCACAGCCACAAAGACAGAAAATGAGATTTGGAAAAAAGGAGGGATAAAGAAGGAATTGGAGTGAAAGAGAGTAATTAGTCCTAATAAGGCTCAGTTCCTCTCAGTAGACAAAGTGTGTAATTCTATTCATAATAAGCTGCCTTCACCTGCTGGCAACATATTTCCACTTGTAATATAATCAAAGGAACAAGGAGGAGATTGTATTAAAATCCTCAGACAAAGACTTTTTGTGTGGATACATACATAAATCTGATTCAGCTCAGCTGAAACCTGGATCAAACATTTTAACTGTGAATCATTTATCTGGGCTTTTGGGTTTTATCATGAAAAAAGTTCAATTTTATACAGTGTCATAGAGTGAGACTGAAAAGTGAAATTATATTAACTTAACTCGTGACTCAAACATTGAATAAGCAACAGTGTTGACCCTATCTTTTGTTAGTTAAACTCTTTCTCACTGATCATGTTTCCAACATCATAATTATTTTCTGGTAAAGATAATGAGGGCAGTGTGGTTTGATAGCACATTTACTCCAAATACATATTATTACTAATATAATGCAGTTAGTGTCCTAAATTGAATTTTTTGTTTACATTTGCATCTGTCCACACGGGTTTTAATGTCTGGGGTTTTTGACAGTACAAATATTGTCCTTTGGTAAAAAGGACAATTCTCGACAGTGAACCACTGTCAGGATGAAGTTTTACACCATAAAAAAACATGTTATATAGACATGTCCTCACTGACCTGCTTCTCTTCAGGAGGCAACTTGCTCCACTCGTTGCCCAGCATCCTTGTAATCTCTGGAAAAGGCACATCTGGACGCTCTGCCCGCAGCTGCTCCCGTCTGTCATTCATGAAACGTACATAGCCGGTTAACGGGGCCTTGGGTGCATTGCTGTCCTTCATTGGCTTCTTCCTCTTTCTCCCCTTGGTCCAGTTGCCACGCCTGGGCTTCTGGGGGAATAAAAAAAGACGGGCATGCCCAGAAGGTTCAGGTGGGGACCCTCTGGAGGTGAGGTATACACTCATAGGACTTTCTTAAGAAAATGTAATACCAACTCCTTCAGTTCTTACCTCATCTCCATTTCTTTGGTTGTTACTGTCAGCATTGGCTGTAGGAGAGGCTGCCTGTTCCTCCATGACTGCGGGGGCAATCTAAAGAAAAACAGTGTTATTGGATTCCAATCCAGTGGTGTAACAGCTATAAACTATGCTACTATTAAAATATGATGTCATATTCAGAGCATTTGAAGGAGGTAAATTCTCCATCTGGTGATCTAGATGGGTTGAGACTTTGAGACCAGAATTGACCGAGTTGAAGGGACATATAGTAATCACCTAAGATGCCCTGCCAGGAGGCTCAGTGTATACAATTCCTTCCACAGTGGTGTATCACATACTGAACTCTGCCTCTTAACTCTTAACAATGGCTAAAACATGCTCTTGGTGATCAACTTTTTGTTAAATGAAATACTCTTTCTATATAAACGTAGCCTATAGCCTGTTCACATTGAAATTTACATTATAATGATTGACAGAGAAATGGAACTTTGTCTACGGACTTCTCCTAAATCATTATGCTAGATAGGACCCTCTAGTTCCTGGACGTGGTTTCAGCCCCCAGACTCTCGCCACTAAATACTGTGGGAAAAGTAACAACGGAATTGGCCAGTTGACCACAAAATGGCCTTTTGGGAACACAATATATTGCACAGCAAACAGTTAAGGTAGTACACTGGGGTTGGGTTTCAAATATCTCTACTCTCGTTTGAAGCTGGTTTCCAGTGACACTTCCTGTATATAGGTGCTTTTATAAGAGAGCCTAATAAATGAAAGCAGCTCAGTTGGTCTGTGAAATGTACCAGGCAACTCTGACATGACATGCTTTGTATTTTCTAATAATTATTGTGGTATTTCTGTATATGATTTACCTGCATGTGGTGCTATAAAAGTAATTACAATGACAATGTTGAGCAGTGTATAGAGTATAAACCTAATTTTCTCACTTGGACCACTATTTTATTTAACAGGTATATAACTGATGAAATGACTGCATTTCATTAAAGTATGCGTGTGTGGTTCACCTAAAACGTCATAGAAAGCTATGCAACAGTGCCCTCTGCTGGATGTGCAATACTTCAAAATTAATTATGAACTTTTTCTTTGCACCATGCAAATAAAACTGCACGCTCTGCATTAAATAAAGTTTGGCAAAATATGTCCAAATGTAAAATAGTCAGTTTGTCTGTCTGAATAAAATCAATTAAAATGAATTATAGGTAAAGCGGAGCCTACGTGTTACTTCCAAAGATGTAATGCACATTTAAAGCCAAACTATTCCCATATTTCAAGCGGAGTTTTTGTAATATAGCTATACATACGAGTACATACACGTGTTTATTCCGATATAAGATTATATCTTATATTCGTATACAGCTTTTAATTGCTCTTCTTCAGGCATGACAGTATTAGTCAACAAAGGCAAAACAAACAGCACTCGAAGCGAAAGAAAATGTTTGTGTTTTCTGTTTTGTCGATCGCTTAGTGCCTGCAATGTGAACGATTTTAATGATGTAACACAACGACTTTACCCAGACATCATCTCCTAATGTATGTCCCGTCACAGCTACGTTAGCCTAGCTACAAGAACATATCAGCTGTGGTTTTACACCACGAAGTTATAAAACGTTTTAAGCAATTGCAGTCCGACAATTACCCATTAGACTGCAACACGGACTAATATTAGGCGTGTTATCTAAATAACTTATATAATAATTTGTAATAAATCTGGCAACCCTGTAGCACGTTAAACCGCAGTGCTAACTGCTAACTGTGCTATTAACTGTACCTAGACGACAAAAGAAAGAAGCTAAACAGCACTTAGACAAAACCTCGATTTGGAAAACGTAAAATTAAAGAAAATGCTGAACACGAAGAGACAAGATATATATAAAAAAAATGAACCTTTGACGCTGTAATTGTCAATAATTCGACGAATCTGTCCAAAGTGTTATCCTAATCAAAACAATACAGGGGACTCCTCATAGAACCAGAATAGTTAGAAAGGCAGATTAATGAAATCCTACCTTCCGAATCAGTTACGACTGCGCGCTGCCTTTCAATTGACAGTTGATTTTGAATGTATGTCCTGGTTTGTCAACACTTCCGTGTTTTCGTCGTCTTTAGGAAGAAAAGGCTGCAAAAGAAACTTGAAAACATGGTTAACGCCAACGAACCATTCTAGAACGTCAAAATCTATGCTCCCGTCTGCATGGTTCTCTTTTTCGTCTTTCCATTGCACTGTTTCATAAAAAGTGCCTCCCCTAGTGGTGGTTAACTGTATTTTTATGGAATTTCTAAAAAATTTACTTTTTTGGCTCCTTGGAGATGGTTTTCGATATTACGTGTGGGGAGCTTGCCTAAGTAGGTTGATAGGATGTGGTTAAAATATATATCTGAAAATTTCAGATGTTTTAATTGTTATTAGTAGAAAGTTTGTAATAACATAGAATGCCAACTCATTATGTAAGGGCTCAAGACTTCTTGACAACAATTTAGTGTCAAAGATCTTAAGGTTTAGGTTTTATAGATCTAAAAAGAATAATATGTTGTATTTGGACTTAAACAGATTACTAGCAGAGGTAATGTGTCCTCTTGTTCCTTATCTAGAGGACTGAGAGAGTGAGAGAAGTAATTCACTAATTCTAAATTACAAGATTGCAAATCAGCACTCAGGCAACAGTAAATATAGATGCAGTCTAAATTAAACTTTGATTGCTATCTCATTGCAATTATCCAGACTTAATCCGCAGCACAGTTTTCAGACTCATTACACAGGTCTGGCAAATCAGCTGTCACACTGAGGTTTGACAAATCAAGAAGTAACCCAAAAGTAGAGTCAGTGCTGATCATCAGGATGTGAGTGGTTATTTTAAAAAACAAAACTTTAATTAGTTCCCTAAATTGTTTTGTATAAATCTAAAGCAAAGCCCGACAAATTCCAATGCAGGTCTGTCTCTGAATCACCAACCAGATTTGTTCTGGAGGTCGTATCCTGCATCCTGTATCAGAAGACGCAGGAAGCATTTATTTTTTGAGTAATGCTGCTTGTAGACATGCTAATGGGCAAAAACATAGCCTTCTTGGCCGAGGAAATAACCTGATATTGACTATAAACCCCGGAGCAGGAGCTGCACATTTATTTACCAGTTGTTTGTATGAATATTAAATTCTACCACAATACATTCTGGTCAGAAATCAGGTGTGACAGGCTGTTTGTTCCGATTGCTGTGCATGTTTAAGGTTTCTTCCAGAAGTTTTTGCTGTAAAAGGTAAGAAAAATTACAGATATCAATCAGATAAAGTCACCGTGGATCACTGATACTGTGTCATCATCTTTACAATCAGACATTTAATACCAGTGCCATCGAGCAGCCATAACATAATAAAAGATTATAGTGCATGTGGAGCCTTGTTTGTCATTGTAGCAGAAAAACACACAAAAATGATGCAGGTTGATTTATCTGAACCCAGAAGCAATGTGTCTCCCCCCCCCTCTCTCACTCACTTTTTCTTTATTCCTGCCTTTTTAATTTTTTATTTCACCTGGCAGGCCCAACACCTGTCAATGCATTGAGGGCAACTGCACAGCAGACAAGCATCGGAACGACCGTATTCAGGTTCACTCTGCTGTGAACTGTACATTCCTCAGGTCCCGGCAGGCCTGCAGGGCACAGCTCACTGTCGCAGCGTATACTCATACCTCCTTTTCAAGTCTCATCAAAGAATTTGCTCCTTGCCAGAGAAGTTTAGAGCAGAAGGAAGGTTTCCAGCAATGAAGCCCCAGTTGGCTGGATAGATGTCCCTGCCATTCGGCTCCTGCCCTGTGGATGGTGGCTTCAAATGAAAGCTACAAGGCATGAATCAAATCTTTCTCTCTAGCAAGAAGAGGGAGCAAAAGGTGATTTATCACTGTTATTTTAAAGAAATACACTTAAATAACTGTACAGCTGTACACTTATTTAAATACAGAGGGAACCTATTTAAAGATAAAGGTAGAAACATGTCATTTTAAGTAATCATTACAAAATATCTAGGTGCTTTTATTTACCAAAACAATGTTTGTCTTTTTTCTTTTTAACTTTCTTTCACAAGTAGTGTGGACATTTTTCAAGATACGACCAGAAGGTGGCAGTAGTGCAACTCAAGGTTTAAAGGTACATTTCTAGTAATGTCTCATTATATTGCCAAATGTAATACTATGAGGCGAGACCCCATAATTATCCTTATTTAAATTTGAAATTCAATGTAGATAGTTTGTTTTTACACCAGATGCCATTTCTAAAGCTTGGATCGAAGTCTAGGTGGAATTGAACCCTGAACTTCACGGCAGATGCAAGAATTGCACTATACTAATCCTCACAATTCACATTCACAAAAATGTTGTATATTTAACTTGTAGTAACAATACTGGAGGTGTACAGCTCCTTATATGAACTTATATGAATGTGTCCTTGTTTCTCTGAATTTCCTTACTGCCTATTGAATATAATATACTTTCAATTTGCCCATCACTGTAGTACACAGGAACTGAAGCATCGCCTGATCCCATATTTTTTAACATACTGTGATGGTGAGTAGTCTCCGCGCTATTATGATCTCACATTTACATCCCATTAGAGCAAATACTTTTCTCAGGTTGTTCAGCGTCTTGCTGCATACATCTGGATGTTAATTAATGAGAATAAATTCAGCAGCTCCTTTATGCCCTCATGTCTTCTGATAGGTGGTTAATATCCACATACAGCTGCGTGCTGTTTGAAAACAAGAATGTGAACATATGCTAGGTAATGCATTCATTACCTTGGTTAATGACCTCATAAGTTAAACCAGTAATGGTTCAGTGCACGACGGAGAATGTAGCTGCGGATCAGGCAGCTCCTGTTCCTCCTGCACTAGCACAAAGCTCACTTTCCCCACGTACAAGGCTGTTGCATCGGTTCTTGCATCACCTTGTTGCTATGCAACTGTGTAATTAGGCCTCAGTAGCTGACCTGTGGAATCAAAGGTATCATATAGGGAGAGAAGAACGAGGAGAGTTTTCTTCTGTTTTTTCCACAAATACACTGCAGAATCTGAAGACAAACAGTTCTCTGTCACAGAACATCTCAGCAGGCCAGGTATAAACTTTTTTTTTTTTTTTACCATTACCTTGTCATTAAGCTCTAAGCAAATGCACATTATTAGAATACAGTTAGACACTGTATCACCTGTGTTTTGTACGTTTCACTATAATCAAAGTAGTACTCCGTCTGGAGAGATAATGTATCTTTAACCAGATTTTTACAAAGAATATTAAAGAATGTGTATATTTCACAAAAATACTACATTATGATGCAGTTTATTTTTTCACACTATATGTATTTTTGGAAGTATCAGTAGTAAACAGTGCTGCAGTAGCTGCTCTAAACCTCAGGAGGGTACGTGGTAACAGCTACTGCAGAGTGTGTATGGGTGTTAAATAAATATTAGCACGGTGGTCCTGGTGGTCTATAATCCTGATGGACCACATTCCCTGACATGGCAGGAACTGCACCCCCTCGCCCCCCAATAAACACCACCCCACGTTTTCTTGGAAACTTGAACAAATTCCCTCAGCAATAACTTCTAAAGTTAGGCCGCTGCTCAGTTTGATGCCAATGTAAATCACTAACTTTCTCACAGTGATTCAGCAAATCTCTGCCGCAGCTAGCTTTTCATTTTACGACAGAGTTATAAAGAAGTAAAAAAAAAATGTTGACGCCGTCTTATATTTTGCAGCTGTTGTTGTAGCTGTTTTTATACGCTAGCACTTTAGAAGTTTGGACCAGATCATTCAGTAAGTAGGAAAAATAAAACATTTTGAAAAATGACATGTTTTAAAGATTACTTAAGTTCCTAAAGAAGTCGAAAAGTGATGAAAAGAAGTGATGAAAATGTCAGAATCCTAAAGCATAGAATCAAATGTATAATTGTTTTTGCCAAAATAAATGAAATGCTGTGAGTTTCCTCAAAAATACAACAGCTGATGGAAAACATGTCTGAAAAAACATGACAGATCTGAAAGAACTCTTAATAAGATTTTTTTTCCTCCAAAAAAAAATAAAAAAAATAAAAATGAACACAGTCACTGTGTCGCTGAAACTATTTAGGCAGACGGACGTATTTTTGGTAGCAGATATTTTCAGCGGAGCTCACAATGAGATGGATTAAATAAACCTGATGAGACCTTTCATGTGAGTCAGCCCGTATTTGAAGTGATGGCTCAAAAGTGACTTGACTGCCCTTTGTGAAGGGCTAAAAAGGGGGAGAGGAGGTGACAGGGGATAACAATTTGATGTATGACGGTTCTGTGGCGAGCTTTAAATGTCTTATCTAAATTCATGCACAGTGACAGCGGCTCTTCTCATCCACGTCACGTACGTCATTTTCTGTTGCACCTCCTGCAAAATAATGGAGAAAAGAGAATCAATAAGTGGGGAAAAATCTTTTGCGATGAACCAAAGGGCTAACACACGGTGCGCTGATAAAAGCAGAGTCGTCTCAGGCACACTGTAGTCACTGATGGTTATGAGCCTGATTCACAAGGTCTAGACAACATTTAAAATGTTCTATTGGTAATTGGTTGAAGAAAGAGAACAGTGATGTCTGAACATAAAGAGAACAGGTTTCATTACCATCAGTTTGACAGTAAGTGAGTGACTACTTATTGGTTTACTGTGACTAATCACAGTCAGTCATAACAGTGATTCATTAACAATTGCCCTCGGCTGCATGTAATGTTACAATCATGTAGAACAGGGTTTTTTACAATGTATATACAGAGAATACAAGTGAATATACCACTCAAGTAAAACTCCGGATGATTCCATTTCCAAACAATTACGAAAATGACTAAGTTAAATTGGAAATGTTCAATGATGCTGTCTTAGTCTGCGGTGCTTTGACTTTTGACGCCCATGGGCTGGGCACATTTTTGGTAGCCTTTGGTAGATAGGGTGACTTGCCAAAGGCACATTTTTCAGCAGCGCCCGCCTTTGGTAGATAGGGTGACTTGCCAAAAACCCCTTGGCCCACACTGATCTATCACAGCTATGGCTTGAAGTCTTTGCTGAACATTTAGTAAAACAAATTGAACAGACACCAAATAACAATGAACTTTGGCACAAATAATAATAATAAAAAAATTAAACTTGCAACAGCTCCATGTCCCCAGTGGGCACTCACCCCATACCTTGGGAACCACTGTGTTATTTCATAACACTTAATTTTTTGTC